AATGCAGCTGAATAACGTTTGAGCTTTTACATCACCAAGTTTACTGTTGGAAAACCCAGTGACAGATGACAGTGGCAGTACGAGGAACAACTCAGTTTCGTCGAGGGTATTGATATTTTTGGGCTGAATCCATAATGTAAATAATGTGCAGTGTAATAGCTATTTACGTAACAAGTGCGGAAAAGACGATTTCCCGCACGAGTAGTGATTGACTCACACGAGTGCCGGAGTTGACGGGAGCGAGTACCAGTTGAGCACACGAGTGCGTAGCACGAGTGTGATCGCAAGGTACGAGTTACCGTCACCAGCCACGAGTGCGAGTCTATCACACGAGTGCGGGAAATCGTGCCGCACGAGTTGCGTACAAGTTTTTTCGCAATGTGTGAGGAAAATAGGTACAAAATAGGTTTGAATTTTGATTTCCAGTGTGTAGCAAAATTTTTTCCTTTGTGTGGCAAAACCTTTTCCACACACCTTTTCCGCACACTGTGCGACAAAAACCTTTGCCACACACCTTTGTCGCACACTGTGTGGGAAAATCGATTTTCCACACTAATACCAGTGCGGAAAACACCCATTTTCTTCACACTATTGCGAAATGGTAGTTTTCCTACGAGTTTGAAAAGTCTCTGTTTGCGAACCGAGAGGTTTGCGGCCCGAGCCGAAGGCGAGGTCCGTAACGAGGTTCGTAAAGAAGACTTTTCGAACGAGTTCCGGAAAACTGCTTTTTCGCCCGAGAAAGTACAAGCCTCCCAAAACCACCCGAGTGCGGAAAAAACATTTTACATTGGAAAAACCGCACTTCTTATCAAAGTTTCATTTCAGACACGTTATTTTCCTTCGTTTTGTGCGTACAGTTGAAAAGTGGCAACCACAGAATCCTGAGAAATATTCCATCAAAGGTATACATGTGTGTACTAAAGACGAGGATGAAAGCATGTGTGGATGTATGCCAGAAAAATATTGCAGGGCTTTCAAGCTGAGTATATTCGAAAATGTATGACTTTGCAGGATGTGCCATTTCCACGCCCCGAAGCGATGTACAGCTTCATACGTGCGTTTTTGTGTAATATCACGAGCAATTTCGGAACGGAAAACGTTTTCAAAGTCATGCTGAAGCACGTGTCGATTTCAAATACTTTTTTTGTTTCGTTTGTGTACGAAAAAACCAAAGGAGCAGATAAAATTTCAATTGCATCGCGTTTACGGAAATACCTTCGTTTTACTGTCTTCTGAGAGCCGATGCAATATAATGTTTTTTTTTTTTCCTTTCGAAACTACTGTTTTATAACGATTTTCTCAAAAATCGATATGTATAAACCTTCACGTGGTGTAAAAACTAATACCAGCAAATTAATCGTCATATTGTAATACATATCCAAATTGACTGTTCATCTATGCGCAGATAAATTTTTGTCTCGCATTCACATTCAGCATTTGTATTTTTCATATATGCCGAAATGGAGTACCTATATCTCTCAATTTCCGCTGTTTCGCATATTGCTACCCGTATACTACCTACACGCAGGGTTTTACTGAAAATTGAATGCATCTCTGTGCCAATCCTTTGGCAATTGAGTCTGACGTATATACACAGACCCGTGCATGCACTCTCTTTCTCTGCACAACACAGAGCTTATAAACGCGTTTTTCTTCCGACGCACGGTATGGAGTCATTTGTGCGTGAAACGCAGGGGGGGGGAAGGCGCCAGAAACAAGAGGGAAAGACATTCAAAGGGTTTTCATATTTTCCGGCGTTTTTTCCTTCCTCTTTTTTTTCGTGGGCACATACGTACACGCGCAGCTGCTCCGCATACCTGTACGCACTCGCCTTTGTTTCGCGGGGAAACGAGATCGAAAAAAATAAAAAAAGACATACTAAATACATCGCGAGCTGAAAATTGCGCCCTCGACTAAGCTTCGTCAATTTTTTTTTTTTTTTTTTTTTTTTTTTTTGCGTTTCCGTGTTGTTTTGCTGCAGAGTAGGGAAATACGTTTCACATGCGCTTGCCTCCATTGTTCGCGTTTCAGCTACAAATTTTCACAACTTTTGTGATTATAAACTACCTTTTGTGAAGCAGAGAGCGCGGGTTTTCTGTGCTCTGATTTAACTGTTCGACGTGGAAAAACTCGCCCGAGGCTTTTGACTTTTAAATGTTAGCTCGTGGCTTTTGATGATTAGACGATGAAAAGTTCGCTTTGTTTTTGTTAAAATTATTCCTGAAACAAAATAAATAATTAAAAAAATGTTGATAAATTAGTTTTGCATTTGAAAAAAAAACTGATACGAAATATCTTTAACAAGCAGCATTAATTGTGCGACAATAATAAAATGTTACTTTCAAAGTAAACTGCCCAATTATATGTAGAAAAAAACGCATCTTTGGAGACAATTGTACTTTTTGTTACTATAAGCAACTCAGCGTTTGACAAGAGTATACATATATAGGTATTATGTGTGACAGAAAAGAACCTCGTTTTCTTAGATTTTTGTAATAGAAGAAAAGACGTGAGTTTTCCGGTTTTTTCGGAAAACTGTAATCCCATTCAAGGCGACGAGCCTGGCGTGAAGAAGCTATCATGGCGTCAAAAGCCAGTGCAACAATGGACCGAGGCCTTATTAAAGTCATCCCCGCAGAGAACCACTATGCGCCAGAAAAGTGCCCAGTTCCGTCTCTTTCAGGCTCAGCGAGTTTTTTCAAGGGCTAATACAAAAGCTAACACATGAACTCGTTCACTCTAATATACCCATCTCAAATCTTTAACGCTACATTTTGTTTACAAATCCTTTTTATTTTTTATTTATTTATTTTTTTTTTTTTTTCAATATACAAAACTTGGGAAATTTTACTTCTACTCTCAGGAACCTTATTGTTTACAACAAACTTATTCACAACCCTCCACTACAAACTTTGTTTTTTAGTTTTATAATTTGGAACAATATTCTGCAATTTCCGTTGTTTGTCCATTCACTTGTTTTTTTGCGACCCTCACTTTTCTTCCAAGTGATGGCTTAATAACAAAAACAGGAAAGCTACAACTTCTGGAAGTTTCGCAGATTTTTTATTTGCTGTGCCCCAATACAGTAAGAACTTGAAAAAAAAAACGAGTGGTCCCATCTATCAACAAAAAAACTCTGATTAGCGAGAAGCAAAAGAAAAATCGAAAAAAAAATTATGATAAGTACCTACATTATGAAGCCTTAACATGAAAGTTCCATAAAAAAATATACGTGTGGCTGGACGATAAGACTTCAATATTTTCGTCTCGTAGCGAACGTTATCGCTTGACCTTTTTCTGCACCACGATCTCTCGAGTCGTTAATTAAAAACTTATCACCTGTTGTTGTGTTTTTAAAATTTCCTGGTATCTCTGGAAAATTCGTGAATCATTTCTTCTTTTTACTTTATTATAGTTCCAATACGTTCGATTTCCATCCAGACAAAATTTTACGCAAGTATACAACCGCCTTGAATCAGTGGATTTCAATTTATATGGTCCTGATGTAATACAGCAATTTGTTTTTATTCAGATAACAAAAATATCACTAGAGAAAAAAAAAAGATCAGAAGTGAGGGGTCAGTACGAAAATACTTTTTAGCAAAGGAATAAAAAAAAGTAGAAGGTACTGATGTACAGTAAGACTCTGACTAAGGCATGAATATTATGGGTTTTACGAACAGTTGAGTTTACAATTTTTATGACTGTTACATTAACAATCTACTTCTCGGTTTTTAAGGACTTTTNCCGGAGAAAATGTCAACACGTTGTTGATTTATATCTTTGTCTTGTTATTACTATTCAAAAGGACTCTACAAACATTTGATCATGTAATGTGGGCATTTTGGAATTGTTATGATGTACAATTTTTTCAAAACGATGAATAATTATTTTATAGATGTTTGCCCGAACGTGTAAAGTGTCACTTTTGCAGTTTTTGCAATTAATACAGAAAAAAAAAAAAAAAAAAAAAAAATGTTTTAATTAACTTGGTAAAACCATACTTTATGAAAATCCAAAGCATGTTAATAAAATATTATACTCGCAAAGAGAATTCGTTAGCACGCGCTTCGAGTTAATTATAATAAAAGGCTCGTATCACCCGCACCTCATTACATTCGGCGGGAATCTTCAATGAATTAATCGAGCAGCTAATTGTATTGCCAATCGATGCACCTCCGCTTCCTCGCAACCCTCGACTTTTCTCATGAGCTCACATCATAATGTAGTCGAGTATATACGTATAATACAAGGTATTCTCGTTAGCAAGTTCCCGGTGCTCGATGGGAAATCAAACTCTTAGAAGAGCTCTTCGCTCAACCGTATACGGGAAAAGTGAGAGAGAAAGTTCGTTAAAGCGTTAATTAAGGAGTCGGATCTTGTGTAGCTACAGCTCGCCCGTAAAGTTGAGTGTGTATCGGTGAAAATAAATAGTAGGTACTGGTGAAGTATAAAAGTTTGCCCTGCATGTTAATGTTTGTTGATTCTACCATGAAAAGTGCAACTTAATATTTTTTGGTGCATCTCCGGCGTGAAAATCGTTGCCGATAGATTTTTAGCTCTTACTATCTTCTTAGAAAATCCACAAAGTAGTTATTGTCCCTCGTTTTAATAAAAAACAATTTTTTTTTTTTAGCACACCCTTCACCCCTTTTCCGCAATTTACATGCTATTATTAAATATATATATATCGAACATACGTATACAATTTTAATATGTAAAAATGAGCCCTGTTACAAGGGTATGACTAAAAAAAAAATGTTTTTCTTTAAACGGGGAAAAAAACGAAATATTTTTTAAAGATTTCCTCGTACGTAGTAAAATGTATCATCATGTATAATATATGGGTAAACATTGAAAAATAAGTTTTATTATTAATATCAGCGCACCAAAAAATTAATGGTTCGTCACGCTTCGATTATCACAGCGTCAATAAGACAGATAAGTACGCCAGACAGTGTATTTATGTACTGATTTATCAGTCTACTCCGGTAGTTCTTACTCAACGTCGTCTCATTTAAGTTGAAGGAATAAAACTCTGATTTTTTTTCAATTTCGCGGTAAAGGTAACAACTCAAAATACACACTTGTTTTTTATTATATTTGCGTGTCATATAAAAAATTACTTAAAAAAAAACATATAGATCGATTGTTTGAAAAAAAAATGACCTATCTGAGCGGCAAAGTGGCGATCGTGACTGGCGCGGCTAGAGGAATTGGTTTCGTGACTGTCCAGCATCTACTGAGGAATGGCGTTTCAGTAAGTCGATGAAATGTATCAAATTACTTTATGCTTCGATGAAACTTATTAATAAAATATCTTACACAGTACGTGGCCATATTTGACGTGCAAAAGCCAAGTAGCGAAACAGTGGTTAACGCATTGCTAGCCTTGGAAAAAGAATTTGGCAAACAAAAATTTGGATATTACAATTGTGATGTGACCGACAACCAAAGTTTCATTGGTAAATATTAATAAATGCTTGTTTTTTTTACGACTACCAATTAAATGCATAAAAATTTATTGAAAATTCTAAATACAGACTTATATTTCAGCCAATTACGAAGAAGTGAGCAAAATGAAGAATTACGTGGATATTCTAGTCAACAATGCTGGGGTTTGCAACGAGAACAAACCAGATTTGACCATATCGACAAATTTCGTAAGTACTACATACTATTTATAATGTAATGAAAGTTCTGATATGTGATTGCACAGTCGAGATCGGTATCACAGCAGTTTTTTGAAATAAGTTTCGGTTCGAAATACAGTGAATCGCTAAACATACACATCGACGTCTCGGTCAAAGAAAACACCACAACTCGGTGATAACTTGTGTTTGTAACGTATAGCAAACGCACTGCGTTTACCACACGATCATCACAGTCCGTGCAAAATATTAATCATCACAGTCATTTGTGTATCGTTAACAATTGTTCAAATAACGTTTTAATAATTTTTTACTTCAAACAACCACTCGTTCGTTTAAATTTTTGTAACCGATAGTGCTGTTAATGCAAACTACATGAGAAAAACGAACTAATATACATTTTATCGAGGCGTCGACATGGTAAACTGGATAATATATGAATGAAAACTTGTATGACCGATGAAACACAGACGGCAATGGTCAAGTGCACAATGATCGCCGTCGAGCGCATGGGTAAGCACAAAGGCCACAGAGGAGGTAGCGTCGTAAACATGGGTTCCATCTACAGCTTGACGGACAACCCCCTGATCCCAGTGTACAGCGCCACGAAGCACGCCGTCGTATCTTTCGTCAGGTCAATGAAGGTATAGGATAATTATATTTTATTCCACGCAATAAATGGTAATGGTAATTTTTTTTTTATTCCTCACAAGTACCACAACGCAACAGTGGGGATGCGCATAATGTGCATGTGTCCAGGGTTCACGAGAACGAGCATGTCCACCGATCTCGTCCCGGAGGAGGTGTTGTTTGATTTCGTGGCCGATTCAAACTTGCCCGACGCGCACAGGAAAAAGTACATGCAGAGGTACGAACATAGTCCCCCATTGTTTTTGTACGGCCTACTGACCTTTCGTCCGATCAGCCGATCAACTCATTTCTAACGTCACTTTCAGCCCCGACACAGTGGGTTCGGCTATCGTCGAAATGCTGGAAAAGGGCAAAGAGGGCGAGGTGTGGCTCACCCAAAACGACGAGTCGCCAATCGTCGTCTAAGATCTAAAAAAAAAAAAAAATAGCTCAACCTCCTCCTCCTCCTTTCTTCGTGGGACCAGCTGTATACGATGCGACGAAGGTTACGACTAACACCTATATACTTGTGGGAGCCTCGTCCATTACCTGGCGAAACTCCAAGTTGCTTGAAACGCGATAGTTTACACATACATGTATATGTGTACAAACAAGCATATTGTGTAATACACAATGGGCAGGTGGTCGGGTATAGGAGGTTGCTTGCCCGAGCGATAAGCCGCTTGTGTACACGTCGAGGTGTCGAAGGAGCTGGGCGCTCGAGGTGTGGGCCTCTCGCTCGCGACTCCCGGGGGTTTTCATGACGATTTTGATGATTTATTAGCAAGGCCCGGGAGAGTTGTTTGCTTTCCTCGGAGGAGTCGTTTGCTACGCCTTTGTTTGATACACATTGTACAAGAATTTTTTTAAATACCGATTGGCGCGTAATGTCAACTGAGCGCACATTTTTCGAAGTGATGAAACGACGGAAGTATATGTAAAAGTCGATCTAGAGAGTATAGGGAGCGTCGTGGCGGAACGAAGCGAGGGCCCGGGCGATCGTATCAAGTGCACTCGTTTCTTTGGTACCACCGCAGTTATCGCGCTTCAGCGCCAACAACATCAGCCACCAAACATCGGGGATCCTCGAAAGCGTGTAGGTGTCGCACATAATAGAGGTGGATGAGCCGAGGAGCAAAGTTAATAGCCATCGACAATGAAAATACGGTTGGGGCTGAAACCAAAGTAAGGGATGGTCGGTGGTGGTGGAGACAAGGGGGAGGAAGGATTGCCAGCGAATCCGATCCTTTTTGCCCACAGCATCAGCCCCTCTTCGACGGAGGACGAGGGTGTTGGGGATCTTTTTTTTTTTTTTTTTTCCTTTTTCATGCTTCATAACGTTAACTTTTTTTTGCTCACCACTATCTCACAAGACACAACAATTTGTAACTTTCAAACGGTTTTATATGTATTATACTTAACCATATTGTACCGTAAATTTACCTATACGCTTGCCAAAAGTATACGAAATAAAGTGACACATTTACACCTATCCCTTCAAACAAACGTACCTATCCACTGAAGAGATTTATCGTCCATCTGATTCTCGCGAGGATAATCGATCTGTCGATTGCACGCAGTTCTCAAAGAGCGTGCCACTTGACACCGGCAATGCTTACAGAGTATACACATATGTATTCCCATGCAGATTCAATAGTTACGGTATTCGCGTTAAATGACAAGTCTGTTGGGTAAGTGTAACCGCGAGCTGTGGTAGTGGTGTACACTTACTTTTTATATGCAAAAAATGAGCACGACAAATGTAGATCAGTTGCATTCAAAGTACAAGGGCATGATGATTCCTGGCTAAAAAAGAGAGAAAAAAAAATTTCATCATCATCACGGAGAATGAGAGGCGTCGGACATCAAAGGCCCATGCGATGTCACCACGCGTCAAAGCAACAGCAGCATCTGGGCAGAATTAACGCGAGCGAAGCGATTATCCGCGCTATAAGCTACGTATACCCATCACGCATATATACATATAGCGCGCGTGTGTGCATATTCGTGACACCCCTATTATGTGGACAGACACGTTACACCCCGAGAGAGGGGGGGGGTGGGCAGTCGCGTACATCCCTCTTTTCTCTCCCTCTCGCGCACCTATTCGTCGAAAAGTGTGTGTATAGGCACACAGGCGTCTCCCCACCCGTGTACTCTGTAAGGGTTGCGGGGAAACGCGCAGATGAGGGACTATACGTCTCTGTCGAGCAAAGGAGGGGTTTGGAAGGGACGGAGCACGATGAATTCTGGTGGTGGGGGGGTGCGAAGGAACAAAGGGAGGCAGGTCGGGTTTATATATACGCGAGGATGTGACAATTTTTGTAGGATGCTCTTTTTTCCCCTTTTTTTTCACTCCACTTTGCTTTGAGCTGTTACGAGGCACAGATGCTTTGATCAGTGGCTCTATTGTACCTCTTTTTTTTTTCCTCTCTAATTAAGCCTCTAAAGTCGAACTTGAGTGCTACATTTGTGCGACAGCTTGATAATCAATCTCATTGGATCAATCGCGCACTCGGAAGTCTTTGAACGGCTTATCACGTTTTTTTAATGACTCCAAGGGTGCGCAGCCCCTTCGGATCTATCGTATTTTTTACTTAAAACGAATATTTGTTCAGGACATTGTGAATGAAATTAATATTGATGGTACACGGTAGTGACCGTTTCATAAGAATAATTCATTAAAAAGGCACTGATGAAACAAGTGGCCCTCATCGAGCCAAACCTCAAGTTTTTACAAAACTAGTCTCAAATAGGTACAGAGCACAATTTAAATGCCATTTATCGCCAAAGCAAAAAGTCACGAATCCCACGTATACCCACACGGGGGGGGGGGTCATTGATCATCAATCGCGGCATCAGAAACCACATTCATCCCTCGCGCTGTACAATAGGTATAATAGGTGAGAGGACGAGCTACCCGTGCATTGTACCAAAGAGGGTGAAAAGGATACATCAGAGAGGGGTGATATTGCAATGGTGGTGGAGTCTCTATATGTACATACAAAGTATCCGGAGGGGAAGATCACGCGGAATGTGTATTGCATGGGCACGCAAGCGCCGCCCCCACACAGCCACCAAGGGCCAATCCCATCGCTCTTCTGCCGAGTACAACAGAAGAGGGAGAGGCCCCACTATAGGCTGGAGGTGCTTCCTCGTTTTCCCTCTTTCTTGTCTCTCTGTTGTACATCCGTGTGTATATATGTATACACACGTCGCTCTTTGCAACTACATGTCCTTTTCTCGCTTCGCTCCGCTTTGCCAACTGAATCGTGCGGAATTCGCTCTCCTTTTTTTTTTTTGCCCCTCTGTCTTTCGTTTTACGCGTAGCACAGAAGGATATTTACGCTATTGACTGCCGATGTTACATCTCGATTGTTACCGAGACATCGACGGCTTGTTCGGACAATGTTTTTTTATCTCTTGTTTTTTTTTTTTTTTATCTTAAAATCAATACGTAGAAACAAACACTTTAATATAATATTGAATAGATTCAAGTAATTGTTATAATCAAATACATGTCCTTTTCTCGCTTCGCTCCGCTTTGCCAACTGAATCGTGCGGAATTCTTTTTTTTTTTTGCCCCTCTTTCTTCACCTCTCGCTGTTGGCACGAAACGACTGTGGAATCTCAAAGAGTGACGCGACAGATGAGTCAGGGATCGACGCACTGCACGTATACCCGCTCGTTCCTCTTTTCTATTCCCATGTTTCTCCTTCGCGTCAAAGAAAGACAACTTGATGTGTATATACAATACAAAGTGACGCAAACATCCAAGGGTATATGTATATAGGTATGGTGATTGTCCTCTCGCGGTACCCGTGACTCAATTAAGAGCGCGTTTTGCGAGATCAGTCGGGGGCTTTGGGGTCTCGGCGTTTACCCAACGAAAGGAGAAGGAGGGAGGCCGATTACCGATGGTCTAAACTCCCTCGAGTTGCTCATTGTTGTTGCGTTTGCTTGGCAAGCCCGCTTTCATAGATTAAAATGACGGTCATTGCGTAAAAGTAGAGGTGTATCGGCAGAAATCGTGAAAACGCGATTTTTCGGGAGACATCGGTGGTCTTTGTTAAAACGCCTAGAATGGATTTTGTGGGTATAGGTTGAGAATATTACCCGGTAGAATCGAGCTGTGGACCAGTGGGTGAATTCTATTTCTAATAAAAAAAAAAAAAAAG